CAAAAGTCCGCCCATTAGCGAGTACAGCGTTTATCCGAAACGGCATGTGCCCATGCCGCAGGCGGTCAAGCACGTGCCCAAGTATCCCAGCGACAGCGAGAGCATTGGCTCTGGCATCCTCGGGATCGGCACGGGCATCTACTCGCAGCAGGCCAGCCACATCTCGGGCAACCGACACACGCAGCTCTTTCCCACGTTCGCGCCCAGCGTCCAGGTTCTGCGCAACACGCGTCGCTCCAGTCCACTGACGCTGCCATCGCCGCCGCCACAGCCCCTGGCCACGGTGGCCCAGCATGACAGCAGCAGTGCCATTGGCATACCCACAGACCTGGACTACCCGCATCCGCAGCAGCATCAGCATCATCATCAGCAGCAGCAGCAGCAGCAACAACAACAGCACATGAATCCCCATCCACTGCCCCATGCGCTGCCGCCGTACCTGGACTACGGCCACCCAAGCCATCCCAGTCATGGCCCGTATCCGTATATGGGCGTTGGCGGAGGGGGTGGTGTCATCTACGAGGGCGGGACCTTCCCTCGGAAGAAGGACAACCAGAGACTGCGCATACCGTCCAACCCGAGCGTCGCCAGCAAGAGCAGCAGCATGGTGAAGAACAGCTCGGGCTCCATCGACCATCATTATGTCACAAGCATGGCTCCGGCCTCGTCGGCCTCCTCCTCGGACCGGGCGCCCGTCTCTCTGATGAGCACGGCCATCCATGCCAGCTTCGGGGTGAGCGTGCCCGGAGGGGGGGCGGCGAACGGGGGAGCAGGCGGCGGCGGAAGTGGCCGTGGCTCGCCCATGCCTCAGGTGCATGTGGAGGTGCTCAGCCATGGGGCTGGGAGCGGCAGCAAACGGAGCTCCAATGTGCCTGCGGATTTTCTCTGCCCTGGAGACCTTAGAAGAGTCACCATCGACAAGCGCGACAAGTCGCTCGGTATCACCATTCAGTGCAACAACAACGGGGGCGGCATCTTCGTGTCGACCGTGGCTGACAAGAGTACCGCGATGCGTGCCGGTCTCCAGGTGGGCGATCAACTCTTGGAAGTGTGCGGCATCAATATGCGGGCGGCCACGCAGGAGATTGCGGCCAATGTGCTGCGGCAGTGCGGCGACTCCTTCACCATGCTTGTCCAGTACAATCCGGAGAGTAAGCAGATCGAGGCGGCAGTCTCAATCACACCCAATCTGACCCAATCTCTCCCTTTGCAGAGTTCCCTTCGATGGAGTACGAGATGGGCACGCACAATCTGGAACCAGAATCTCCCCTCAATCACTCGGGCTCGCCCACGCCGCGAAACTCGCCGCGTCCACCGGCCCGCAATGTCCTGGCTCCGCTGCCACTGCAGCCGCTCACCCTCCTGCCGTCGGCGGCGGTGTCGTCTGGTGGCTCGCGAGCCCCGCTCTCCCACCAGTCCATCAAGGATCAGAGCTTCACCGACAGCCTGGAGAACCAGTCGGACATCAGCAGCAGCCAGGACATGCCCTCGTCGGCGGCCACCACAACGACGACCACAGCCTCGGCCACCTCGACCGTCTACGATGAGGACCCCAAGCCGGCATTGCCGCCGCCTCCCGTCTCCGTTCCAGCAGAGAGTACGTAGAGTCACTCCTATTCCTGTTTGACTAACCCATCAGGAAGCGTTTTCGGCTGCAAAATGTGTCGGGTTTTCGAAGCTTCACTGATTTCATCAGCCTTGAAAATGTCTGGAGCCTGGAGTTCCTTGGGTTTTGCCGATGTGCACGTTCTCTCACTCGACTCTCAAACTCAACTTATGTCTACTAGGCACTACGCTCCTCTTTGAGTGAGTCTCACGTGCACAGCAATAGAACAGGCAAGGGACAAGAATAACGGCCAGCGACACATAAGAGTACGACTGGGAAATACACAGCTATTAGAAGGATTCAGTTCCTGCACAGCCAACAAGTTCACTGAGTATTAGAAGCTTACGATCCGACATGTTGTGCGTGGGAGGTTCAGGGAATCCAGAGTCAAGATCTTCAAGATCTACAACTTACAAACACCCAATCCGTATTATATGTGATACTAATTTGGGTTCTTGTTCTTGCAGCTCTGCGGTACGTGACGCTGCACATGGACAAATCGAAGAACCTGGGCATCAAGCTGTTTGGCGGCAACAAGGTGGGCATATATGTGCACGACGTGGCGCCCGGCTCGCCCTCGGACCATGCCGGCATACGCAAGGGCGATCAGATTCTCGAGTACAATGGCGTAGACCTGAGCGGAGTCACCGCCGAGCAGGCGGCCAACGAGATCTCCAAGCTCACGGACACCGTCACCATGCTGGTGCAGAACAAGCTGCACAGTAAGCACTCCTCCACTCAACTGTGTGACCCCCTTATTAACTCCCATTTTCTTATCCGCGCAGCACTTAAGCAAATAAAAGACGAGCCGGGTGATTCGTTCTACATACGCGTAGGGTTTGATCGGATCGGAGAGCTGAACGAGGACGATTTGCGCTTTGTGAAGGATGAGGTGCTGTATGTGGACAATACGGTTTTCAATGGCACCTTTGGTCTGTGGAGAGCCTGGAAGCTGGACGCCATGGGGCATCGCAAGGAGTGCGGCATCATACCCAGTCAAATGAAGTGCGTAGCCGATTATCGCTGATTAATATCTTCCATAACTATATGTATGCCATCGGTATTGTCTTGCAGGGTGGAAGAGGAGCTGCGCTCGGGCGAGGTGGTCGACTGTGATACGGGTACCGCGCGACGCGGCAGCACCTCAGCTCGGCGTTCGTTTTTTCGTCGCAAGAAGAACCAGCGCAGCTCGTCCCGCGACTCCACGGAGATTGCCAGCTTCAGCAATACGCAGCTTAGCTTCTTTCCGGACCTAGGTCTGCTCAACGACGATGGCGGGGCCCTGAGCTATCAGCGTGTGGAGCTCTTGGACTGTAAGTTGTCTTTCCACCTCTTAAAGGGGATCTAATATTGACTTCATGTCACGTAGCGCCCACACGTCGTCCTGTACTGATCATTGGACCGTTGTCCGAGTGCCTGATGGATCGCCTCACCATTGACTTTTCCAACTTGTTCAAACTGTGCGAGGTGACGGCCATGGACTGCTCGCAGGAGGCCATGGAGGAGGGTCTCAAGGAGAACATCTTCGTGGACTATCGCCGGCGGGGCAACAAGTTCGAGTGCACCACCGTGGAGGCCATCAGCAATGCCTGCAAGAATGTAAGTGGACAACCCATAATTTTTCGGTTAGCTTTTGTAATGCTAGAGTTCTTCCCTTAGGATCGACGTCACTGCATCCTGGATGTGTCGATCTCGGCCGTTGAGCGGCTCCAGCGGCTGCAGATCTATCCGATTGTCCTTCTGCTGCGCTTCAAGTCCGCCAAGCAAATCCGCGATATCCGTGATTTTGGCACTGACAAAATCTCGGCCAAGGCGGCCAAGGAGATGTACGAGCGGGCCATGAAGCTAGAGACTGACTACAAGCAGTACATATCAGGTGGGATTCCAGTGTGTGTTCTTGCCTCCCCAACTTTGTGTGACTCTTGTTTGTTGTTGTTTCTTGCAGCCGTCATACCCGGCGTGAGCATCAAGCACATGTGCACTCAGATCAAGGATGCTGTCGACAAGGAGCAAGACAAGCTGCTCTGGGTGCCCGTCTCGAGTGGCTGATGCCAGCACGGATTTCACACATAGTTTCCTAGATTTAGTTTACGCTAAGTGCCCGAGCCTAGTATTTTGCAATGCGTATCAATATTATCAAGTTTGTATTCGTTTCGTTCAACGCAGAGTATTCTATGGGCGTCCGTCGATTTTCAACTGCAGCAAGGATGTTGCTGCATTTTAGGGCGCGGTATTTCTACTTGTTTCTTGTCTCCGTCAATTAATTTATGTACTATATCTATTTCTAGTTCGTTAGCTGTAGCCAAGTATGTTCTTTATGTTTGGTCTGTCTGTAAAGTTATCTCCCTCTCTCTCTCTCTGAATCGGAAGGGGGTTGTCCACAATTTATATATCATGCTATTTATATAACTGGAAGGAAGTCTGCAAGGCGTCCAAACTACATATGCAATCAAATTATTATTATGTATTTGTAAGTACATAAACCTTTATCCTATACACCTATGGACCAATCAAGTGGCAATAGAGAGTTTTGGCTTTAACCCGTTCAACTGTTCAACTGTTTAACTGTGTATATTAAATAGTCCCCCCTACCCCCCCTCTAATCGAATGCGAAATATTTCGAGCTTTACTACTTACCTGTCGTGTGTGCCTCTGTCGATCCTGACAATCAGAACAGTCGGCTGCTAGTTGTGCAACATTAAAAGTTTTATTCGATGAACAATGTTATTGGTATGGATTGATTGATTGATTGATTGATTGGGTGTTTACAAAATGACAAACAAAATAAAAACGCTATCACTAGCCGTAGGTGGTAATCGGTTAAGCTGTAATGAATTCAAATGATTGAAAAGAAACCAACCCTTTCTACACATAAATACAATTTATATAAATCTAATTTATCATACCCATATGTATGCCTTAAACATTATAGATTATGTATATATATATTTATATATATATATATATCAACGTATTAAATACATTAAAGTCTATTTTATATATACATACGTAAGCATTCTACATATACAATCTATATATGATCGATCGCATACATTTTTGCAATAAATATTTTTCCAAAATGCCTCCGCTTCTTGCTCTATGTTCTAGAAAATGTTATGGCCACTGCTTTGATATATTCCCAATCAGTATATGGTTAGAATTATTGGTAACTTAACCTAAAGAGATATATATTTTACGAGTATAAATAAGTAAATTAAATACCATCGGACACGGCTCGAGGGCCGCGATATGTTCAAAAAGTATTTCAAGGTACATTCGCTCTTCAAATTGTTGGCTATATCGGGCATTATGTCGGCCTATATTTACAAAGACATAATGCCACGCTTAAACGATAGTCTTAATGCTATTATTATGCTAATAAAATGGGGGTTAATGTAGCTCTTAGACTAGATAGAAAGTGAGACTGAAAGATCTTGCGGGGATGCTCTATATATATGTATCTATAAACCTATTCATCTACTGTACATTTTATGGATCTACTGTTTGCAGATTCCATCTCCAAGAACTACCCCTCGAAGAAGTCGAAATCATCGCGTGGTCTATACCACTCCTCGGTGGCATGGTCGTAGATGGCTCGCTGCACCTCCGCCTCTGCGGCTTCTATGGGGTCCGACCTCAGGTCCATCCGCTCCTGCGGTGCATCGAAGCTACTGTCGGAGCGCGGACTGCGGGAGGTGGCGCGGAACTCCATGGGTATGTTGTAGCACTTGCAGATGCAGCTGGAGGGGAATCGGAACCAGTCGGAGAATATGCCGCGGCACTCGTTGTGCGGGTCGTAGGCGAGCAGACGGTGGAGGCGGTACTGCTGCTCGCAACGGCATCCATCCCGGCAGAACATCTGCTTGAACTCCTGGGTGCACTTCTCCCAATGGACGTACTGCTCGAACGGATACAGATTGAGCAGGGCCAGGACCTCGCCGCGTGTGTTGTTCGCCCAGAAGGGGGCCACCACCTCATCCTTCACCGGACAGGCATTGCTAATGAATGGAATTAAATTAGAGAGAGGGATTAGCTTCATTCCAGAGTAGACTTATGATTGGACCTACACTCCGCGCATGTTGCTGCTCACCGCCACCGGCTCCTGCTTCATGGCATCCTGGAAGAGTTGACTTTCACGCACCAGTCCCGCTTTTGTTGCGGCTCCTGCCTGAGCTGGAAAAAGACCTGGACCTTGACCAGGACCTTGACCTGGACCTTGACCTGAACCTTGACTTGGACCTTGACCTGGACCTTGACCTGGACCTTGACCTGGACCTGCAGCTGGCGTTGGCGCTGATGTGGTGCTTGTGGTCAGTGGCCTACGCTGCTTTTCCGGACTGAAGCCCGTCGACGAGCCCGAAAAGAGGGCGGCAAAGCTGACGGGCGTGGTCACTGAAGGAGAGATCGCAGGCGAGGATTTGGTCGCATTTCGTCGGATCAGCACAGTGGCAGTGGTGGTTGGAGCCGCTGTGGTTGTCGTCGTGGGAACTGCCCTCAGAGTGGCCGATATGGTGGAGGGCTCTGCTGGCTTTCTTCTGCGACTGGCCGTGGCCGATGAGCTCTTGTTGGGTCCTGCGGTTGGCCTGAGAGTCGTGGGTGTCGGTGGATCCGCCTTCACCTCGCTGCTGAGATTCCGCAATCCCAACTGAGGCGAGTCGATGATTTGGATGTTGTCTCCAGTGCCTGCACTGCCTGGCGACGGCGTGGTGCTGGTGGTCGTTGAGGTCGCAACCTCGTAGACACTATTCGAGTCGGGGTTTGGAACTACTGCGGGATTCTCAGAAGGTGGAGCAGCTGTTGTGCTCGTACTGGATGAAATCGAAGAGGATGTGGGGGCAGATGTGGTTGTGGTCGAGGTGGATGCTCTGTCGGTGGTACTGGTGGTGGGTGGAGCCTCCGTTGTTGTCGTTCCCCTTGTAGTCGTGGTCGTAGTCGTGGAAACGGGTCGGAAGTGCGGCTCCATGAGCACATCATTCCCTTTGTAGCTCACAAAGTCGTCCCGATCACGATCACGATCCCGATCGCGACCATGCATCAGATACTTGGCACTGCGACGTCCTCCGTCCTTACTATATCGCTCCGCCGCGTCCTCCATATCATCCTCATCCACCTCGTTGTTCTGGATCTCATCGCGCAGTATGGAGATGTGTCGCACATCCCCGTACATGCGCTTCATCAGTCCCTGGTTCTCATGCACGAACCGACGGACTGCATGCCAGGGATATGCGGTTCCGGGCAGGTGGCAGAAGGCCTGCTTCCCCAGATCGCAGGGAATGGCCGCCAGCATTTGGGCCCTGCCGCGACGCGACATCTTGCCATTGGGAGTGCAAGAGTTGGCCGAGTCGAAGCCGAATCCTGTGGCGACAATGGGAAGGGCCACCATTACGATCAGCAATAGACAGAGGATGGCATCGTCCTGTAATTGTGGAACATTTTACAAGAAAATGAATAAAAACTCTTTAATGTTACACTGAAAATGTATAGCAAAGTTTTTTGGATTTCAGATCGCCTTTATATCGATATCTTCAATATCTAACGTCTTTTTATAGTTATTTCTGCGAATAACGCCTAGAAATAAGTGAATTAATTCATTCAATCCTAGAATTGAATCCATATTTGATACATTCCATTGGTTTTGAATGCTCTGTTCAAAAAGTGTTGTGCATATATGAAAATTTCTGAGAAGATACCCCTACAATGATATCCCACAGCTGTGCTCAGGCTTTTACATTCTGAAAACTTTTCTGAAGCCTTTTCCATGATGATTTCAAATTTGTTTGCTTTTGGATGGCCCAAACGATGCATCTGCTTGGCTGAAGAGGAAATCTTAATTGAATTGGGAATCGAGTGGATGTCGCTGATAAGCAAATGGCGTGACGCTAAAACTCTCTTTTTATTGGCCTGGGAAGTGGGAGAATGCCAGGGATTGGAGTCGAATGGGGGCTCAGTGCACCTGGCTCTCACTCGGGGCAAACAAATTGTCTCTGTCTGCCGTGACGCCGTGACGAGGCAGAGAGTCACTTCCAGAGCCGGTAGAAAATCAAATTTTACTTTCACGCAAAGCCAACTCGGGACAATCACAAGTCATAAAGATGATCGATGTGCATTTGCATGCCACTGCAACGGGCAACCGACAGACTGCATCTGGAGAGATAGATAGTTAGAGAGGGGCAGAGGGAGAGAGCGAGCGACTGGTTGCACCAACAAAGCGAGCGAGTGAGTGGCCACCGGGCAACCGGGCAACCGGCAACCGGCGGAAGACGACCGACAGCTGGCCGGCCACTGCTGGCAGCCGGCAAAGTGAAATGCAAAGAGCAATCAAAAGCGAAATGGGTTACCCAAGTAAAAGTAAATTGCGGCACAGGCCGTCGCGTTGCCTGTACAAGTCCAACCGCAACGCCGCAAAGCCGCAACGTCGCGACGATGGAAAAGCCCAGGCATTTCCCCCTGCTGGCTGTGGAGGCCCTTTCAACTTTCCTTTTCGGTTGCACAATTGTTGGCAACGGTTCAGTCCTCGTTGGCCAGAGCCACAGCCAAAGCCACAGCCAAAGCCGCTTTATATAGCAGAAATATGTAGGGACCAGGCTTGTCTCTCTCTCTGTCTCTGGGGGAACCGGTTCGTGGCCCAAAAATTGATATGCATTCAGTTATCGCCTATGCCCGGACTCGCATTCGTACTGGTATATATTATATGCCGCATATTGTATGTGAGTATCGATAGCCAATGATTCACTCGCCCTGCCGAAAAGAAAGTGTTCGGCTCCCTTGTGGCTTTCTTGGCGGATGTGGATCGATCCCAAAGTGCGAACTTAACACGCTTAAACACCACGCGATTGGGTTATGTCATCTGTCATCAGTCCTCCCGGGGTTTGGGGAAAATTCCAGCCTCCTGATTAGCATATATAAACACTTGACATTGGGTCAACACGATTGGTTTGGGTTGGGTTGAATCTATTTCGTAACAGTTTTCTGAACATTCGTTTCTTTGTTGAAGGGAACCATTAATGGGGAAACAGTTTCAGTTTTATTTGGGGCCAATTCGTTGTTGTTTTTATGGGACATAACAAGAAATCTACTCATAGTGAATACACTGTAGTGGCAGATCACCAAACTAGTCCTTTGGGATCGACACCAGAGTACAAAGTGAGCAATAAGGGACAGCCCTTCGATTGGGATTATTCTTCCCAGATTGTGATTCAATAAACCGATCATCTATTGTAATTCTAATGGCATGTCACAGCCTGTCTGGGAAAAGCAATATGAATGGCAGACTAATATTCGCATTCCTTCCCACAATTTGGGGCAAATACTTATAATGAACTTCTTTAGAGAACCACTTCAATCAAGTGATTTGCAGTACCTCCTCCACTTTGGGCAATTATAATGAGAAAGTGATCTGATCCAGTGATGATTGGATTATCGGGGATGAGACCGCAAGATGGGTGCGAAGCAAATGGCTTTGGCTCTGGCTCTGGCTCTCTTTCGAACTAATTTGTGTTGAAAATCGAATCAGGTCAAACCGACAAAGACAAATGCGAGTGCCGCCGTTGCCAGACCGCAAGATGATGAAGCCGAAGCCTGAAATGGAAAGCAGAATTACTTTCGCTTTGTTTGGCCAGGGTATCTGCGATCGGTGGTAGCATTATCGTAGTGTCGATTGTCATGTGCAGCAAGACAATTAAACCGAATCTCATGCAGCCGCGGGTGAGGCGACTCGAGTCGAGTCGAGTCGAGTGGAGTGGAGTGGAGTCGAAACGGGTCCATAGATCTATGGCTATGGCTATGGCTATGGCTATTCATTAACATTGTCATATTTCTTGGAAGCGGCATTGGCCAGAGGAGGCCAGAAGGAAATTGGAGCAAGTGCTGCTGCTGTGGCTGCTTCTGTGGCTGTCAGCAGTCCGAGTCGGTGAAACAAATCAATATGTCCAATCAGCCGTGAGAGCTCGCCAGTGCAGCATCAGTGCAGCAGTGCAAATGGGCATTAAGTCAACTCGCATCGAGGAAGACATTTGTCAATCGGAGACGCTGATGCCGAGCTGTCGCCAGAGAAATGTATTGCAACACTTTAATGTGTCAGCGACTTTCTACGAAAACCAACCAGATGGGGAGGACAAGGCAGCATCAATAGCAGCAGCAGCAGCAGCAGCAGCAGCAGCAGCAGCTCTCGGCACGAGGAGATGTTCCAGTGTATGTCTTCATTTCCCAAATACAATGTTGCCCCAAGTCTTTCCCGCAGCCTCTGTCTCTCTCTCTCTTTCTCTGTCTGTGCCTCACTCTCGCATTGCAACTTCGTCGACAGCTGCTAGAATGAATTATTTATAAATTCAATTGGCTCTGGAAATAAAGTTGATGTTACATTTAACCAAATTTGGTGGTGCGGCGGTCTCAGTGGCTGCTGCTGCTGCTGCTGTGGATGCTGCCTCTGCTGCTAATTGCCAGCCAGCTGGCGAATGGTGAAATTTCCACAAGCCCCAAACAAAAGACTTAAGCGACAAACTCGCCTTTGCTGCAGCGCGTCTCCCATTCCCATTCCCATCCCTAGATCGAATGCATATTCATGGATCGCTAATTACTCGAATGAAATTTCACTTGTGGCCCCCACCACCGGAAAAGGCCAACCCCCCCCCCCCGCCACCCGCCACCCCACACACAACAACGCTACCAAAATTGGCAAGTGGCTGTTGTTTTTGGCATTCGCCTCTCTCTCTTTTTGGTCTTACCAACTATCGGGCCAAAATCCGACAAGTCAATCCCCAATAACCAAGGTGAGTCGGGGCCCACAGCCGGGGCCCCCGATTTGCTCTCGAAGAAAGTGAAACTTTTTTTATATTTCATTTCATTTTCGTCTCTCTTTGGGGCGTTTTTGTTGTTGTTGGTTTGTGTGCTGTTGGTTATGGTTTTGTGATTGCGTAGTCATGCGTTGAAAACACACACACACACGCACACGCACAAAAAATCGATACCAGAAGTTGTTAATATGCATAAAACGCTTAGAGCAGAGCTTATCGATTTCAACACATTTTGAGAAATGGAAACGAAGAAGACGTGCGACCATCTCTTAATTGCGTTTTCATTTTCATCAATGATGGAACAGGGCCCAAAGCCAAAGCCACAGCCAATCAATCAGCTATTCTGATTGACACTGATACGAAAATATTTAGAGCATAAGCTGTGGGATCGAGGGGTTCATGGTTAATTGGGTTTTCAGTGCAAACAAATTAGTCTTAGCCGACAAATATTTATGGCTAGATGTTACCTCTATGATGAGTCGGTTTAAATGCTAGAATGATGCTCAAAAATTAACAAAATGCTGTATGAAAAGGAAACCTTTGATTGTTTTCACTCAATCTCTTCACCAAGCCACTGTATTTCCGTAAGTAATAGTTTTGCTTTATAAGTTTATAAGATGTAGGGATTGCGTAGATGGTTTCTGTCCAACTCCTCTGAAAATTATAATCGTATTCGATACTCGATTGCTTAACTTTTGGACACTTCTGGCTATGTAAACCTTTGAGGTTGGCAAACATTTCGCAGGCATAGACATAGACATAGACATATTTACAGCTACAGTTGCGAGCCCCACTTACCGTTATTAGCTGTGTGATCCGAAACCGCCTATCCATTTGGGTGCGCTTCATTGTTCACTTTCACTCGATTGACACTATCCCAATGCCGAATGCCGAATGGCAAACGCCAACTAATTGGCAAATAGAAATCTGTCAAGGATTTGGCAATGTTTCCACCTTGGACAAAGACACTACGCGTCGACGAAACGGAACGCCCTATACGGCCGGCCGCCGATCAGCAGCTGACGAAAGTGTCGCACTCTCGGGATCACATTCAGATTCACATTCGGTATAACAATTAGTGGTAAAATCCATATTTTCATTTGCCGACACACAGAGTTTTCAGCTTGGATGCAGTTTTCCGCGACCTCTGGTGCCCCGCTTTCGTGCTGGGCTCTGGCTCTGGCTCTGGCTCTGACTTTTCCCAGTGTAAACGCTGCAAAACCGAGGAATGAAGGAAGCCAAGTCCCAGGCCGAAAATCAAAATCACGTTCACACGCTTCGCGCTCACGTTTGCAACTGCGACGACGACGACGAAGACGCCAAAGACAGCACCAGCACCAGCTCCAGCTCCAGCTCTAGCTCCAGCTCCAGACCCCGTCCCAGAGACCAAAGCCAGAGACCAGACACCAGACCTCTCTCCCCTTTGCTCACGACAGAGAGCGATCGGTCGGGGCTCGGCTGCGCAAGCGAAAACGCTTTTTATTTTTTACGGCTCTGTTCGGTTTTTTTTCTTTCTTCTGGTTTGGTTTTGTTTTCTGTTGTTTTTTGTTTGTGTCTTTCTTTCTTCGTTTTTTTGCGTTTGCAGGAAAACTTTTTCTTATTTATTATTCGAATCGTCAGCGGCGTCGGCGTCGTCGGGTGGCGGAGTAAATGCAAACATTGAAAAACGACCGGGCGCGCGACCAACAGCTGAAGAATAAGGTTCTCATTACGACTAAGGGATACCTGGTACTTACCATCAAACCGGGCCACACTCAGGGAAGAATAAGTCGAGAGTTTTATACAATTTGATAGATTTATCGAATGCTAGAGCATTATCTTTAACAATATATGGCAGCCAGGTTTCTAGGCATTCCTTAATGATTTTTTTTAAATATCGGTAGATAATACCATAGCCAAAGACTGAATAGATTTCATCCAACTCAATGCTCTACCTCGGGAAAATGTGCGGTCAATCGCAGCTCTCTGGCTAAAGAAACTGCCACCATTGACTATTTGGTGTAATTTTCTAGTGCAAATTAGGGCAGTGGATTACAAGACCCCTTAGATACTGCATATCGTGCATTTCTCCTTCCTGAGTTTTATCTTCCCTTCGTTTACTATTGTTCTTAACTCTGCTCAAAGTTAAGAAGTGCCATCCATGATTACCAGCTAAAATTTGTGACCTTTCAAAGTTGGTAACTTTTTTCCTGTACGATTCGTGTAGTTTATCAGATAGCGGTAGGGATATCTGTGAAAATAATGTGTCTTCCTATAACATATATGTATATATACACACGCTGCATACATAATCTACCCTTCTGCTCTCCACGAGCACAGGGTATCCGAAGAGAATCAACAAAAATAAATACTACCAACAAGAAACAGCGCCACACGCAACGCCAACGAAGAGCGGCCGATGTTCGAGCCGAGTCCGAGAGAGAGAAAGAGGCAGAGGCAGAGGCAGAGACTGGCACTGAGACCCAAGAGACGATGATACGTCTTCGGGGCTGGCAATACGACGACGAGTGCGTCGTCTCGACTGCTTAGTAGGTCAGTAGTGGACCTGAACATTGTTGTTGCTTGGGTTTTTGTTTTGATTCATTTGCTGTGGATGTTGCTGTTGCTGCTGCTGCCGCTGCCGCTGCCGCAGATGTTGCTGCTGCTGCTGCTGCTGGCGTTGCATGTTGCTGCTGGGGATTAGACGGTCAAAGCTTGTTTTGGCGCGCATCTTCAAGGCTTGATTGGGAGTGTTGCAGTTTGCCGAGGGCTGATCTAAAGAGTTCTTAGAGTAGAGTAGCTCTGAGTAGAGCTAAGGAGAGAATCTCCTCACAATCACAGCCATTTTAACAGAGTATGGTATAGTTTTAGAGTTTTAGTTTTTGCTTACTTTAATTTTCTATATAGGAATTTAGAGGAATGTAATGCAGTGTTGCAGGTTTAAAACTTGGCATATGCAACAGCAAATTATATTCCATTCCAGTCTTGTCACAGACATTGTAAAGTCCTTTCGGAAAGTCCTTCCCTTAAATTGGTAAATCTTTCCATTCCGACGGATCAGACGCATGGAATATATAAGGACCAAAATTGATTCCCTTTGCTAATTCTTTCCGATCCCATAACTTATCGACTGGCCCTCGCTGGCGCCTGACTGGACAGAACTGTTGAAAGCCACTTGGTGGCCGGACTAACCTCAGTTTAATTATTGTTGTGTGTTTATTATGTCTTTCCCAGCCCCCCTGTCACGCCCACAAGCCACGACAAGAACAGTATGGTTTTTTGTTGCCTTCTTTTTTTACCGTACTTATTTTTCCTTATTTTTTTTATTGGCCTACCACATGCCGCCACGAAGTTTCCCATTGAGTAGGTCTTTGGCCTGGGCACACGTCCACGACTTGGGGCGGGGATCGCGGGGGGGGGGCTTCGGATGGGATGGAATGGGTGGTCCCCATGCCTGACGCTGGGCCCAAACTGGTTTCCTGCCAAATGTTTCCGATTGCGAAATACTTGCAACACCCACGAGTACTACAACAAATACTTGCTACAAATAAAACACGGCTTGCATGTGGACTTTGGATGGATTTTGTTTTTGAATTTGAACGCCCAAACTGTGTTTCGCCATTCCCGTTTGCTCCTGCAACTCAGGGAATTTTATTGTGGCACCAAGAAGTACGTAGATCGCGAGATCTGTGAGATTTGGCTGTTTTTGGGGTAGAGCAAGTGAAAGTGTAAATATAATAACTTTGGTTGCGGTTCACGGCACTTGGTTGCTTTAATCATGGGGCCCCGGTTCCACCTACGTTTGTACCTGCATACAGTGCGGTTCAGAAATGTAAGACACTTGAAAAGAGCGAATAAATGGGGCTGGGTCTCCTCTGGTGGATACCTTGGGGGACCTTGCACCAGAACCGATTAGTTCTCTGTAAGAAGGAAGAAAGATTATTAGCTCGAATGAATCCAGTTCAAGGCAGATCTTATGCCGAAAACATCCCTTTTAAATCCCTCGAAAGTACTGCCTTTTGAGTGTCCTCCAAGGAAAGCAATATAATTCGTATCTTTTACATTCTTTGGGAAACCCTCCTTCAGAGGACTAAAATAACTTACTTATCCTTTCGGATTGATAATGGATATCATGGGTTTATCAGCTCCTATCTGATCTTACGAAACTTGATCCTCAATTGACGGCTACTTATGAGTATTTAGGGGCATTCAGCGCTATAGAAATAGTCTATAGCTATTTTGCACTCGAAATAATGGCTTAAATATGCAATCAGAACAATCCCATTAGCGGCCACAACCACGCGTTGCATACCCGTCCCCATCAGTGCTTCATCTCCCAGCGGGAAGCATCATCATCATCAGCTGCATCATCAGCTTCATCTTTAGTCTGCAATTATTGCTTGAGACGCCGAAATGTCTGCACCGAGCAGCAGCAGCAGCAGCAGCAGCTGGAGCTGGATGCTGTCTCATGGCGCGATGAAAGTGCCCCACTGGCTGTGGCAGCAGGCAGTTTCCCATGCGACTCTGATTGGAACTGCAACTCGTGTTCATTATGGTTGGGGCAGGGGGAAATGCGACGCATGGCTTACAACAACATGAACAGACAGAAAGAGGGAGAAAGAAAGAGAGAGAGAGAGAGAGAGAGACATACATGCGGACAGACTTCAAAGATAATATGTTTGAAATTTTAGCAAACAGACAAATAAACGTTCTACTTTCACCGAAGCAACAGCACCAGCAGCGGTACACAGGCTGGGCAGACAGCACATAGTGCAGGTTACGGGTGTAGAGCAGAGAGGTGCTGCCATTAAACAGACAGACATAAAAAGGTGACAGAAAACACACAAATAAAACTTACGGAAAGCTGATTCAATTTGAATTTTAACGGTCACAACAGTTGGCTGAGTGACATAGCAGCCGGCCCTTGAAATACTGCGAACGCGGCACTACACAGCACTCTTCCGCGGATGCCTTAGTGCGATATTGTACGGCCGCTTTACAACACTGCTTGATCAGCTGCTTAACCAACAGAAGTTGAAAAAAATTTTTAAAACGTACACAAAAAACTAATGGAATTTGTAGATACAATGGATCTGGAGAATGAAAGGGTGCTCAAATTGATATTCCCCGATGGTGTGCCAGGTATACTATCATATATGTGCAGCTGTGACAGGAAACAAATTAATGTTTTCACTTCCATTCGAGACAATCTGCGTGGCAATCCAGAATTGGATAATTATCTCGGGAAGCTCGGCACCTACAAGGTGGATCAGCTAAAAAAAGAGCAAACACGCCTGGCCGACGAGACCAAGACCATACTGGAGCAGACCCAGGACCTGGCCATCTCCAATTACAAGACTTTCATCACGACGGCGGAGAACTCGCGATCGATATTCAACGAATTCCAGAAGACGGAGGAGCAGGTGGGCACTCTGATTGGCAAGTTGCCAGAGTTCAGTGGCAAGTGCGAGCAGTTCCTAAAGGACTCCGCGGAGCTGAACGAGCAGCGCCGTCTCAACTCCATCACTCTGCAGAAGAACTCCCAACTGCTGGAGATCCTCGAGCTGCCGCAGCTGATGGAGCGCTGCATACGCGAAGGACGCTACGAGGAGGCCCTGGAGCTGGCCGCCTACGTGCAGAAGCTGGGCCAGCATCAGGGCCACATATCTGTGGTGAATGTAGGTTTTGTGTTCTCGATGAATCCCCGCCCAAAGAGGTTTATTACAAGCATTTACTTTGCCCTTTCAGAGCATTGTGCGCGCCGTGGAGGCCTTGTGGCACACCATGCTGGTGCAGCTGGTGGCCCAGCTTCGTTCGGATTTGCAGCTGCCCAAGTGCCTGCAGATCGTCGGATACCTGAGGCGCATGCAGGCTTTCGGGGACAACGAGCTGAAGTTGAAGTTCCTGCAGGCTCGCGACTCCTGGCTTACCTCCTGCCTTGGGGCCATTCCCACAGCGGATGGTAAGCTATCGAATACATACCAAGAGATTCTCTGACTCATTGAGCGTGCCTACAGCCCAGCAGCATCTGACCAAGACCATTGAGATCACGCGCATCAATCTGTTCAACATCATCACCCAGTACCGGGCCATATTCCCCGAGGAAGAGAGCGCTGGCAAGGCGCAGGGCAGTAGTCTAAGGCCTTTGCAGGGCGTCAGCTGCAACGGCGATCGCCTCTTCCAGGCGTGGCTGCACAACAAAGTGGGTAATAGCATGGGAGACATTCTCCTGTTGATAATAATCTCTCGCTGTTTGCAGATTAATGCATTCTTGGAGACCCTCGAAAAGGATCTGCATCGCGGCGTTGGATCCATTGAGACGGTTTTGGGCCAGTGCATGTACTTCGGGCTCTCTTTCAGCCGCGTCGGGGCCGACTTTCGGGCCCTAATGGCTCCCATCTTTGTGGGCGTGGTGCAGAGCAAGTTCGAGGCCAGCATTGAGCAGGTCAACGAGCACTTTGAGCAGGAGCTGGAGAGGTTCACGCTGATCAACAAGGTTACGCTCCACTCGCGCAAGCAGGTGGATCCCACCTCGCTCTCCGCCAACGAGAACGAGTCATTTGCGCCTCCAGAGACGCTCCTGGACTTCTACCCCCTGGCCGCCCTTTGCAACGGCTATCTGAATGCGCTGAACGAGTTGCGGCTCTGCGCCCCACTGGCGCTGGCCACAGACGTCACGCGCTGCTTGCAGCAGTCCCTGCAGTTGGTGGCCCAGCGAGTGCTCGCCTTCTACCGCCAGGAGCAGCAGGCTTTCACTGGAAACGAGCGCGAGAACTTCGTGAAGCTGTGCTCCTGCCTGGCCTACGACCTGGTGCCTTATGTCCAGCGCTGCATCCATGGCATCTTCCCGCCCCAGTCGCTCACCGTTCACCTGGGCATAAGCCTCCTGCAGCTGGAGCAGCAGCAGCTCACCTATCTGCAGCAGGCGCGCATCCTAGAGCCCCTCAAGCATCTCCTGCCCACCAAGGTGCTGGTCCAGTCACAGCCTGCCCAGGAACCAGCTCTGGAGGCAAAGCCCGTCCTCAACTTACCCGTTGCTGCCGAGGGATGAGTCATTCCCAACAACAAGTTCTAGGTTTAATCCATATTCCCATATTTAAATTTTGTTTGTCGTAATAGTATACATATATATACATACACACATATGTACACGTGTTTACTGGAAATATCTGTAAAACTAAAGTTGAAATCTTGAATAATAGCATGCTCTCTTGGGGGGTTTTATACATCTGCGAGTATATCGAAAAGAATTCTTAGTTGGGGAACATTTTCCAAGAGGATGCATCCAAGAGATGCGGATATCCAAATCAGCATTTTGCAGTGTCGCAATGCCACTTTTTCCATAACTCTTATTCGTGCTAAAAGATTACCGACCACATCCAGGAACGGATGCCGACATTAGCTGATCGAATAGGCCATCATGAAGACTGATTCGTGTTTGATCGGAGTGAACAAGCACAGCCTACTGCCCAGGAGAATAAAATATCCCCCCCAAGTCCCGAAGTCCCGAAGTAAATATTGAGCAAGCAATCCATGCCCCACAAAACCCCAAATGTCAAATTCGATGTTGTGGAGAATACTGGAAAAATATCAGTATAGTCAGGAGAGTGCGGAGTGAAACACAAAAAAATAAAATTTTAAAAATTCTAAGTTTCGAGGAATATTTATTTCGGTTTTTTTCAATTAGGTTTAAGCAAAAAGTGATTATTTTTTTTATAAAAAAACCAAAAAGTGAAAAAAAATAAAAAAACCAAAAAGTGAAAAAAAAATAAAAAACCAAAAAGTGAAAAAAAAAAAAAACCACAATTTATACCATTTGAAACATTTCATCACAACGGTGCTCAGGGTCAGCCACTGCGCTCGTACACAGAGGTATACGTATACGGAACATATTTGGAACACAGTGTAAGCATAAATGGTGTTGTGGTGGTAAAGTTTTTGTTTATTTAAATTTTAACTTTTTCTAGGCGGCTGATATCACCACACGGCTGATACACGGCTCGACAATCGTCTGGGCAGGACACTACGTTTCCCGGGGAGTGACATGGATGCCACAAGATATGAAAACACATCGGAAATTAAAAACTATTCGCAATCCAATAGTTGCACATTTTTGGTCGAAAAATCAAAAAATTAAAATCGAAAAACAAACGCAAAAAACAATTTGGAACTCTGAAGTATTAACTCTATATTTTGATACTAAAAATGATTATATTTTGATACTACAAATTATTATATTTTGATACTAAAAATGATTATATTTTGATACTACAAATTATTATATTTTTATACTAAAAATTATTATATTTTGATACTAGAATACACACAGATGTCTAATTATTTTTATTGATAGCGAATGGGCCAGTTAGTTCTATACATTTTGGGTATACGAAGGATGATTCGTATGATACGCAGTGTAGCTTATTATTCCCCATGACAACCTCTTGGCTCAGAGTTGGTTGGAACAACGTACAAATTCTTTTATTTAAATAATACATGTTTGCATTGGAAATATCTGTAAAACTAAAGATGAAATCTTGAATACCTTTCTCTCGGGGGATTTTATACAGCTGCGAGTATATCTAAAAGAATTGTTAGTTGGGGTCCATTTTGCAAGCGGGGAATTGGGATATCCAAATCAGCATTTTGCTGGAAACTTTTGGAGACCTACCCCATTCTGATTCAGGCAAATAATGAAACATCTTTGTGTACTTTAGTATCAAAATATAATCACGAGTAATATAATTATTAGTAACAAAATATATTTTTATCCAGTCACACATCACAGTCTATATTTTCCGATAGCCGAATCCTAGAAAGAAGATACATTTTATTCCAATTTGGCAAACCTAAAACCATTTATACTTACAGTGTCAGAACAAAGTATTGGTTCTACTTGCGAGTCTTCTCGGAGCCCTCAGATCCCTCAGATTGCCCGTATTTATGTAGGGGTGTGTAAAAAAACTATCCGAAGAAGCCGTGTTGTACCTCATTGTGCCACCACAGGTATTTTGCCAGGTATTTATGAATATGGACCTAGAAAAAAGTTAAATTTGTATCTATTCAACCTAAAAGCGAAATTTATGCTTACTTGTTAAACAATCAATAGATGTGTATCTTGGAGAAGTATTATTGTGTTGTATCTTATCACTAACCATACAGTATACAGTAGAGACGGAAAGGTTAAACAAAATAAATAATTCAATCGGCAGTAATAATACAAAAATATTTTTGAATATATTGAAAAAAAATCAAGTTCAAACTAACGTTCATCGTAGTAGCCCTATAGAAGGAAAGATGCCTCGCCGCCGAGCTTCACGTCGTAAGCTGATGACCAAGACAGCTGACCAAACGGAGGCTCAAACCAAGTCCGAAGCTGTATGGTTAGTGACCTTATTCACTTTATGCTTAACTTTAAAAACTAAAAAAAAAACAAATCACTTTTATGCTTAAACCTAATTGAAAAAAAAACCGAAATAGATATTTTTCAAAATTTAGAAATTTAGAATTTTATTTTTTTGTGTTTCACTCCGCACGCTCCTGACTATACTGATATTTTTCCAGTATTCTCACACGACATCGAACTTGACATTTGGGGTTTTGTGGGGCATGGATTGCTTGTTTCAGTTTTTCTTTCGAATTTTGCGTTGATTCGTATTTTTATGAACAGAGACGTTATTCTGTAATAATTCCGTTTTACCGATAATTCAAGTCGATAAAGTCGCTGGGCATTGTTATCCTCAGAAGTTACTCAAGCAGAGAGCATCTTGAAGAAGAGGCCTAAAACATGTCTTGTGAGGTGCGGTCCGGATGCAAAATGCAAAATCGAATAATCGAAGGGCTCTCAAAAACGAAGGCAGCGAGCGTAAAGCGTGTAAAAAGCCTCCACAAACTCAATCAATCAACGGATGGAATAAAGCGCGTATACGCAGTGTTGTCCGTGCGATGCCAAAGTAACAAATGAACACACACACACACACACAGCGCAAACATAGATACGTAGTACGTACGGACAAGGACACACACAGAGACAGACTCAGGTTGTTAGTCGCTTGTTTCGCACTGCTTGCCCAAATACCACAAAATCTATTTCGATTCGCAATCAAAATCCCAAATTCCATTTGTACTATGACGAGTCCAGGCCGGACTACAGCCCGGACTACGGCTGCCAGTACGGCCGTACGAAAGGGGCATGGAATGGAATGGAATGGAATGCGTGCTCGTCGCGTGTGTGCGTGGAGTAGGCCGGCAATGGACGGGGACAGGGAAATCGTGGCCAACTTGTGCTTGAGTGCTTTCGTTTGTATTTAGTGGCGGACTTAAAAATACAGAAGCCTCCGACCGGATCCCGCTCCGGTTGCGTACACGGCTCTAGCTCCTGCCGTACCCATACCCCTGCCACCGGCTGCACCCACAAAGGCCGTGGCCACAAAACGCATCCGGCACTGACGTTGAACGATGAGCCGCCGCTGAATGTTGAGCGCTCTCTCTTTCTCTCGCTTTCTCTCTGTCTCTCTCTGCCATGTCCATTTCCCAGTCTCCAATGCCTTCTCTGGTTCCTGCTCCACTAGTTTTCGTCCATTCAGCTGCCATGTTTTCCAATTTTCGGCGCACTGCGTTGCATTCAGATTCATTCGATTGCAAGTTGCAACTAGAACCACAACAACAACAACAACAACAAAAACAACAGTAGCAGGAAAATCGTCGCTCGCTTTTCTCGAAATTTAGTCATTGTTCGCGAAATTGCTTATAAACGCGGCTCGTGTCCAGACCAATCCACTCCTTCCCGTAACCACGCTCAATCTGACCCGCCATGTCGACGCTTTAGTCAGGATATAGACGGAGGTTAGAGAATTATTGGTACGGTGGAGCTCCGCTTTGGCTTTGGCTTTGGCTTTGGCGTTGCCGTTGGCTTGGCGGTTGGACAACCGCAGAGAGCCGCTTTTTGATCGTCCGGCACTAAAGTAAAAATATTATTGCACTCCCGCGGAGGCCACCCCGTTCCCCACCACGGTCCCATAGTGGGTCAAAAACACAACCAGGTCTACGCCAAGCCCCACCCCCTCCGCTCTTCCACTGGGCAGCCTTTTGTGCCTCATCGCGGGTTCGGTTACTGGGAAATTTTGTGATTTTACAAAACGATTGAGTGGAAGAACCACTGAAGTTTACACCTCCCAAAATAAATGCAGACTTGTGCAGAATTCAATGGAAACTTGATACGGAGGAGTGATACGGCTTAGGGAGCATCGTTAATTTCTTAGGAACCTAAAATATACAAAAACGCTAGCTACGATCAAAAAATGATTATAAGAAGCAATAAAATGGTCATGAGCATGGCTCACCCCCCAAGAGGAGACCGGAGACTCGAGTGCGTCTTCTGCAGCACAGAAGGTCTCGATGTCTTGGCCGAGCTATCCGCCATGAAGGCTTTAATCATAGCCCCTCGGAAAGGTGATACCACTCTGTTAGATAAAGAGATCCCCGTGAAAAACACTCAAAGCATTCGAAGACTTGCATTTCGATAACACGGAACTATTGCAGAATAACGTCTCTGTTCATAAAAATACGAATCAACGCAAAATTCGAAAGAAAAACTGAAACAAGCAATCCATGCCCCACAAAACCCCAAACGTCAAGTTCGATGTCGTGTGAGAATACTGAAAAAATATCAGTATAGTCAGGAGCGTGCGGAGTGAAACACAAAAAAATAAAATTCTAAATTTCTAAATTTTGAAAAATATCTATTTCGGTTTTTTTTTTCAATTAGGTTTAAGCATAAAAGTGATTAGTTTTTTTTTTAGTTAGTGATAAGATACAACATATTAATACTTCTCCAAGAAACACAAGGCATAATAATACTTCTCAAAGATACACATCTATTGATTGTTTAACAAGAGCCGCCAGCATAGAGTAAGCATAAATTTCGCTTTTAGGTTGAATAAATAGATCAAAATTTAACTTTTTTCTAGGTCCACATTCATAAATACCCGTCCAAAAACAAACCACAAAACATACATATAAAACTACAAACATACTTCAGTTTTCCGCTTTTCTACACAAACCTACATAAATACGGGCACTCTACGTAAGCATAAATTTGGGTTTTAGGTTGAATAGATACAAATTTAACTTTTTTCTAGGTCCATATTCATAAATACCTGGCAAAATACCTGTGGTGGTACAATGTGGTACAACACGGCTTCTTCGGATAGTTTTTTTACACACCCCTACATAAATACGGGCAATCTGAGGGATCTGAGGGCTCCGAGGGCTCCGAGAAGACTCGCAAGTAGAACCAATACTTTGTTCTGACACTGTAAGTATAAATGGTTTTAGGTTTGCCAAATTAGAATAAAATGTATCTTCTCTCTAGGATTCGGCTATCGGAAAATATAGACTGTGTTCATCGGGTACAAGATCTGATGTGTGACTGGATAAAAATATATTTTGTTACTAATAATTATATTACTCGTGATTATATTTTGATACTAAAGTACACAAAGATGTTTAATTATTTGCCTGAATCAGAATGGGGTAGGTCTCCAAAAGTTTCCAGCAAAATGCTGATTTGGATATCCCAATTCCCCGCTTGGAAAATGGACCCCAACTAACAATTCTTTTAGATATACTCGCAGCTGTATAAAATCCCCCGAGAGAAAGGTATTCAAGATTTCATCTTTAGTTTTACAGATATTTCCAATGCAAACATGTATTATTTAAATAAAAGAATTTGTACGTTGTTCCAACCAACTCTGAGCCAAGAGGTTTTCATAGGGAATAATAAGCTACAAGGTTCTACACTGCGTATCATACGAATCATCCTTCGTATACCCAAAATGTACAGAACTAACTGGCCCATTCGTTATCAATAAAAATAATTAAATATTTTTGTGTGTATTCTAGTATCAAAATATAATAATTTTTAGTATCAAAATATAATAATTTGTAGTATCAAAATATAATCATTTTTAGTATCAAAATATGCGTTTGTTTCTCGATTTTAATTTTTTGATTTTTCGACCAAAAATGTGCAACTATTGGATTGCGAATAGTTTTTAATTTCCGATGTGTTTTCATATCTTGTGGCATCCATGTCACTCCCCGGGAAACGTAGTGTCCTGCCCAGACGATTGTCGAGCCGTGTATCAGCCGTGTGGTGATATCAGCCGCCTAGAAAAAGTTAAAATTTAAATAAACAAAAACTTTACCACCACAACACCATTTATGCTTACACTGTGTTCCAAATATGTTCCGTATACGTATACCTCTGTGTACGAGCGCAGTGGCTGACCCTGAGCACCGTTGTGATGAAATGTTTCAAATGGTATACATTTTTTTTTTTTATTTTTTTTTCACTTTTTGGTTTTTTTAAAAAAAAAAATAATCACTTTATGCTTAAAACTAATTGGAAAAAAAACGAAATAAATATTCCTCAAAATTTAGAATTTTTAAAATTTTATTTTTTTGTGTTTCACTCCGCACGCTTCGGACTATACTGATATTTTTCCAGTATTCTCACACAACATCGAATTTGACATTTGGGGTTTTGTGGGGCATGGATTGCTTGCTCAATATTTACTTCGGGACTTCGGGACTTGGGGGGATATTTTATTCTCCTGGGCAGTAGGCTGTGCTTGTTCACTCCGATCAAACACGAATCAGTCTTCATGATGGCCTATTCTATCAGCTAATGTCGGCATCCGTTCCTGGATGTGGTCGGTAATCTTTTAGCACGAATAAGAGTTATGGAAAAAGTGGCATTGCGACAGTGCGTATCATACGAATCAGGTTGGGGCATGGCGCAGGTTTGTTTCTCCCAAAGAATTCGCTGAATAATGTCCATCCCTTGTCCAGTGTCCTGGGATGGAGGCGACGCGACGCTGCTGGGCCATTGTCCGGCTGCTAATTTATCGGGATAATTGCCAAATGACCAAATGGGGAGGGGAGTGGTGGAAGGAGCAGAGCCAAGACCAGGAGCAGGAGCACGACTGGTCGTGGGCCAGTAAAGTGATCTTTGGGTGCCCATATTGTACTCATATGAGCCGAACAAGCGAAGCGAGTGAGCCAGGGGTTGGCTGGCGTACATGTAGATATGTTTATCTTTATTATTCTTCCTTGTTTCTTCTAGAAATAGTATGGAGGCCAAACTTAATTAAATGGTTTCTAAATGGATTTAATTATCAGCTTAAATTTCAAAGAGGAGGCGTCCTCTTTATACTTCTGAGAACTGTTCAGAGATTGCTCCATAACTGACAACATTCGCAACATTCTTAGCATGTGCTATAAATATCTTCGTATCTCTTGACACCCCATGCGAGTGGCGAGTGTGGCGAGTGTGGCGGAGGTATGACATCAACCACAGTCGGTGGAAGGGAGAGTATATGGCCTAAGCGCGGACTGGCTGACATTGTTATAAAAGTGCAAACAAACATGGCCAGCAGGGTGGGAAGGGAGCTAGGTAGGGAGTGGACCTGGCCTAAACGAACCCAACCAAACCGAACCGAGGGAAAACGAGCCCACCCGAGGTCCCGACTTGACCAGAAGAGACTTGAGGCAGGAGCAGTGGCCGCAGACATATTCGATGAGGAAACGCGCTATTTTTCCCAGGCAACCCTGGACCACCCACCAGGCCCCTAGCCAACCCACCCACCCACTGGAGGAGAAAGCAGAGAGAGAGAGAGAGAGAGAGAGAGAGAGCAGACAATGCTCTGGACAGGGCGGGAAATTATGAAGCCGAAGACGGCTGCAAGGAAGGGGGGAGGTGGTAGTGGGGAGGGGAGGGGGAAAGTATACAGGACACCGCCGACCTGTGGCCGCCGAAAGGCGGAGAGAGAAAAGACAGCAAAAATAACAAAAGTGGAGGAGAAAAAGGAAAAAAAAAAAATGAGAAACCGTGTGGTCCGCTGGCTCGGCAAAATAAATCGCTGGACATAAAAACGGAGCAGTGCAAGTGAGACAGAAGAAGGAGAAGGAAGAGCACGACGAAGAAGTAGCTGGAGAAGAGAAAGAGAAAGGAGCGTGAGGTGAGGTGAGAGCGAGAGCGAGAGCGAGCGAGAGGGCCAAGCAAGCGCCAAACAGGAATAAAAAATTGAATGAAATATTTTTATAACCACACAGAAAGAGAGAGAGAGGGAGAGAAAGAAACATAGAGATAGAAAGAGAAAGACAGATTGAGAAATGGGAGAAATATAAAGAGTGCGAGAGAGGGAGAGAGAGAGATGGCGAGCAGTTGAAGGATATTGATGGGGCGCAACAGTAAAAAGGAAAAGGAAAAGGAAAAAAAAACCCACCAACTTGCTTATCAAATATGAAGGAACCGAAAGTGGGTCGAGGCTGGGCTGTGGGAGGGTCGGGCATCATAAAACCCATGAGCTCACCTGGCCGAGACAGAGACAGAGACAGAGAGAGAGCGAAAGAAAGAGAGAAAGAGAGAGAGAGAGCGAGAGAAAGGAGCTCAGAGAAAGCTGTAACTGGAGGCGGCTCACCCAAGGGTAGTTGTTGGGTCGAAAGTTTTATGGATGCCCCATCGGACGACAGGTGGTCAGAGGCACGCCCACACCCACACCCACGCCCACACCCACAGCCTGCTCCTAGATTCCCCAGCCCCCTCCCTCTCACTCTCTCGCTCTCTCTGCCCCTGGTCATATAACGGTACATTGTGTTAGGGGTGTGGCAGTGGGTGGCACGGCACACGTGCGGATAATAAAAAATGTTTTACTTTTCAATCGACCAATAATATGGCGTTCAATGGACAGGCCAAACGTGCAAAACCCATCAGAACGTAAAGGATCCAAGTTTTTTCCAGAGAGGGAGTAAAGGAGAGAGGGAGAGAGAGAGAGAGAGAGGGACAGAGTGGGACACACATACACCCACGTACGAGGTTCAATCATCGTTAAAAAGAATTTCATTTTGAAAAATGCCAGAACTTCAATAAATTATATTGGCAGGACTACCCCCCACCCCCCCAGGATGACCTCTTGCCATCCCGTCACGCAAGGATGTGGGCGGCAGGCGGCGGACTCTGTGGTCTGCCGCTCGACTTGCTGGCACCTTCGCTATCATAACCACAACACAAAAGGAAATGTGAAATGTGGAAATGGGGAAATGGGAAGGACAACCCACATTGCCATTGCCAGCTATTTTTTTTGTTGGTATTCCCAGTCGCATCCGTAAGATATCTCTGGGTGCGGACAGGTGAATCAGGTCAATGGAGGAGCAGGGGGGGGGGTGGCCATTGTGTCCGGCACGAGGATGGGCTCTGGGTAGCCAGAGCCAATGGCATTCTGAAGCATCAGCGTCTCCAGCTGCCCGCTCGATGGTTATTGGTTCGCGTTGCAATAATATAATATACACAGACATGCACAGATACTCCCACATCTGTGTGTGTATGTATGAAATAAAAATTGTGAAATAAAAACAAGAAAGAACCGAGAAAGAGCTGCAAAAAACTATCAAGCAGGCGAGCAGCAGCTCGAGAAGGGGGTGGGGGGAGGGGAGGGAGGGGGGACTGGGGCTGAGCAGCAGATTTTAACTCAACTTTGTTGCAACGCGACAGTTTTTTTTTGTTTTTCTCTCTCGCAGCTGCCGTGGAAGGAAACCCCAGAAGGAGTCGAGCTTGTGGGGAGCAGTAAATGGGGTCGCCGCGGAGGAGGTGGCTCGCCATTGTCATAATGACGTGCATTCCAGGGCGTGGCCCGCCCCGCCCCCACTTGCACTTGGATATTGATTGCAGATCCTTTTGTGCCGTTGTCGCCTCCGACCGAGACACGGCATTCGCTAATTAAGTCATGGAATGCCGAGGTTCACGGCAACCAAAGCTACACTGAAAGAAACGGTGGCAGATCTTGTAAGGCACCTACTTCAGGCTGGAGTAAGCTCGGCCTCAGACATTTGTAGACCCGGTTTCCCCCTTATCCGGGGAAATATATGAGGAAATATGCCTTCTATTGGTAGCTGGGTTCGGTCTTTGGTTTTCAACAGGGCTCCCAGGGTTGCAATGTGTGGCGGAGGGCAGCCCTACTGACAGATTATGTAGAGTCGCTATATAAATATTTCTTTGAATTATAATCCATTTTCCATGACAAATTGAAGGCGGAACTTCTAAGCGAACACCTGTAGTATAGAACTTTGATCCTATTATCGATTGGGTTGAATATATTCGTATGATCCATAACCATATGTAATTACTATTATACCAGAACCTTCAGAGTGTTAAGGCCTGGCGCTCGACTCCACTGCAAAGCCGAAACTAATCCTACAAAATGGATTTGCTCTGCCATATGCCAAGAGCCGAGGAAAACAGCAGGCAATTGATTAGTTCATCATTGGTTCTGCCGAAAGCCGAACCTGAGCCAAAATGAAGCTGCTGCTGCTCTTCTGGATGCTGTGTGGAGCGTGCGCTGTCAACGTGGCCGAGGCACAGCCCTGCGATCAGCCGCCGGGTGTGAAGGGAATGTGTAGGATGGTGTTGCCCAGATATACCTACAAAAAAGCCGAAAACGAATGCGAAACGTTCTTCTATGGAGGCTGCAACGGCAATGAAAATCAGTTCGAGACCCTAGAAGAGTGCACCAAGACCTGCGTGAAGCCTGCGTGAAGCGTGCGTGAAGCCTGCGTGAAGCGTGCGTGAAGCCTGCGTGAAGCGTGCGTGAAGCCTGCGTGAAACGTGCGTGAAGCCTGCGTGAAGCCTGCGCGGTAGCTAATAAGCTTTTTGATAGACAAATAAACTGGTGTCCTGTTCAGCTCTATCGTTATCCACAGCAAGCAATCCGCAAGGGCTGGGTTGGAGAGTCATTGTGCCTTCGTTAGGCTCTTCCCAGGCTATTAGCTCCATCCTCGCGAGATCTGGATTCCCCAAAAGCTAATCAGGCAAATCAAACCGAATTTGCGAGAAAAATCCGTCAAAGTCAGAGGCGTTTGGCCCGCGGCAGGCCATTAGCCTGGCCCATAACGGTATACGCTCCCACATGTCAGCCGATTGTCCTCGAGGCGCACTCTGGCATTGTCATCATCATCATGCACGTCAGCAGGGGAGATCGAACGAGTTGGCGGAAATCTGATACCCCAGGACAAAAAAAAAAGAAACGCGTCAAACTTTGGCTCCAAAGGGTGGAGAGGGGCGGGGCGTGGGGTTGTGGGATTCTAAAAAATGTGTTGCATGTTTATTTGAAAAATCGCTAAAGGATAACTAAAGGATTCCCCTAAGGGTATTTCCCGAGCTCGAGTGATTTGTTTGCGAATTTACATACACGCAAAGGCCTCGGCGAGAGTCTCAGTGCGGAGTCACGGTGCTCGGGGGGGAGCTCGGGGCTCGGTGGTGTCTCTGCTGAAATCCCTGGGTGTTTTCCAACTCGTTGAACAGCCCCACCCTGCCAGGCAGGGCCTGGGCCTCCCTGGGCCCAAAACCCGACCCTGATCCGACTCAATACGTTGCGGCAATAATTTTGCATAAAGAATAAGTAAAAGTATCCAAATTGAATCAGTGCAAAATTGAATCCGACTGACTCTGCGCCACCCTCGGAAGGGCAGGGCAGGGCAGGGCACGGCACGGCACGCGGTGTTAAGTGCCAAATTCAATTCACTTTCGTTTACAGTTTACAATACGGCCCAAAAGTTGACATTTATGAGAAGGCCATTTTGTGGATTCAGTGCCTCGGGATATCGATTTCCAGCTCGTGTGTACGTGTGTGTGGGTGTGTGTGGGTGCGGGGCAACAATCCCCAAATGGCAGCATCATTAACTAACCCACCTCGTCCCCCTCCCCCCGGCACTTCGCACAGAGTCGGTAAATAATGTAATTTATGAATTACAATTAAAAATACACAGAAAGGGAGAAGCCACGGCAGAAGGTTGAGCAGGGTAAGCCATATAAGCAAGAGAGCTATAGATACATATACATACAAATACAGATACAGATACAGATACAGAGATACAGATATACGAATAGAGCTAGAGCCAGACGTGCCACATGAGTTCTCCCTTTGGGGGTGGATGGGGTGGGGGTTCCGTTCGTATTCCGTTCCGTTGTCTGGCAATTTTTGTGCTTTGCTCATCAGTCGTGCTCCTGCTCCTGCTCCTGGTCCTGGTCTTGGCTCTGCTCCTTCCACCACTCCTGCAGCTGTAATAAAACTCCCCATTTGGTCATTTGGCAATTATCCCGATAAATTAGCAGCCGGACAATGGCCCAGCAGCGTCGCGTCGCCTCCATCCCAGGACACTGGACAGGGGATGGACATTATTCAGCGAATTCTTTGGGAGAAACAAACCTGCGCCATGCCCCAACCTGATTCGTATGATACGCAGTGTCGCAATGCCACTTTTTCCATAACTCTTATTCGTGCTAAAAGATTTCCGACCACATCCAGGAACGGATGCCGACATTAGCTGATCGAATAGGCCATCATGAAGACTGATTCGTGTTTGATCGGAGTGAACAAGCACAGCCTACTGCCCAGGAGAATAAAATATCCCCCCAAGTCCCGAAGTCCCGAAGTAAATATTGAGCAAGCAATCCATGCCCCACAAAACCCCAAATGTCAAGTTCGATGTTGTGTGAGAATACTGGAAAAATATCAGTATAGTCAGGAGCGTGCGGAGTGAAACACAAAAAAATAAAATTTTAAAAATTCTAAGTTTCGAGGAATATTTATTTCGGTTTTTTTCAATTAGGTTTAAGCAAAAAGTGATTATTTTTTTTATAAAAAAACCAAAAAGTGAAAAAAAAATAAAAAAACCAAAAAGTGAAAAAAAAAATAAAAAGCCAAAAAGTGAAAAAAAAAAAAAAAACACAATTTATACCATTTGAAACATTTCATCACAACGGTGCTCAGGGTCAGCCACTGCGCTCGTACACAGAGGTATAAGTATACGGAACATATTTGGAACACAGTGTAAGCATAAATGGTGTTGTGGTGGTAAAGTTTTTGTTTATTTAAATTTTAACTTTTTCTAGGCGGCTGATATCACCACACGGCTGATACACGGCTCGACAATCGTCTGGGCAGCACACTACGTTTCCCGGGGAGTGACACGGATGCCACAAGATATGAAAAGACATCGGAAATTAATTGCAATGCATTTAATTAATAAATATGCATCGCCTCTTGATAGATGCAGTCATTGCATGTCAACGTCCAATTAAAAACTATTCGCAATCCAATAGTTGCACATTTTTGGTCGAAAAATCAAAAAATTAAAATCGAGAAACAAACGCAAACAACATTTTGGAACTCTGAAATATTGACTCTATATTTTGATACTAAAAATGATTATATTTTGATACTACAAATTATTATATTTTGATACTAAAAATGATTATATTTTGATACTACAAATTATTATATTTTGATACTACAAATTATTATATTTTGATACTACAAATTATTATATTTTGATACTAAAAATTATTATATTTTGATACTAGAACACACAAAAATGTTTAATTATTTTTATTGACAACGAATGGGCCAGTTGTATACATTTTGGGTATACGAACAAGAGATATCAATAGGCTTGCTTTAGCTTTTTATATTTTATGTTGTGTGTTTGATGATTAAAAAAAATAGAAGCCTAAATCATAGCATATCATCATAACCATCGGAGCACGGCGCTACGTGCATGGCCGGAGTCGGAGCCGGAACTCCCCATTTGGTCATTTGGCAATTATCCCGATAGGCAGCGTCGCATCCATCCCAGGCAAATCCATTGGCAAATGAAAACTGAGCTGTGTCCCAGGATGATTCGTATGATACGCAGTGTAGAACCTTGTAGCTTATTATTCCCCATGAAAACCTCTTGGCTCAGAGTTGGTTGGAACAACGTACAAATTCTTTTATTTAAATAATACATGTTTGCATTGGAAATATCTGTAAAACTAAAGATGAAATCTTGAATACCTTTCTCTCGGGGGATTTTATACAGCTGCGAGTATATCTAAAAGTCCATTTTCCAAGCGGGGAATTGGGATATCCAAATCAGCATTTTGCTGGAAACTTTTGGAGACCTACCCCATTCTGATTCAGGCAAATAATTAAACATCTTTGTGTACTTTAGTATCAAAATATAATCACGAGTAATATAATTATTAGTAACAAAATATATTTTTATCCAGTCACACATCAGATCTGGTACCCGATGAACACAGTCTATATTTTCCGATAGCCGAATCCTAGAGAGAAGATACCTTTTATTCCAATTTGGCAAACCTAAAACCATTTATACTTACAGTGTCAGAACAAAGTATTGGTTCTACTTGCGAGTCTTCTCGGAGCCCTCAGATCCCTCAGATTGCCCGTATTTATGTAGGGGTGTGTAGAAAAACTATCCGAAGAAGCCGTGTTGTACCACATTGTACCACCACAGGTATTTTGCCAGGTATTTATGAATATGGACCTAGAAAAAAGTTAAATTTGTATCTATTCAACCTAAAACCCAAATTTATGCTTACGTAGAGTGCCCGTATTTATGTAGGTTTGTGTAGAAAAGCGGAAAACTGAAGTATATGTTTGTAGTTTCGTATGTATGTTTTGTGGCTTGTTTTTGGACGGGTATTTATGAATGTGGACCTAGAAAAAAGTTAAATTTTGATCTATTTATTCAACCTAAAAGCGAAATTTATGCTTACTCTATGCTGGCGGCTCTTGTTAAACAATCAATAGATGTGTATCTTGGAGAAGTATTTTTATGCCTTGTGTTTCTTGGAGAAGTATTATTATGTTGTATCTTATCACTAACCATACAGTATACTGTATGGTTAGTGACCTTATTCACTTTATGCTTAACTTTAAAAACTAAAAAAAAAACAAATCACTTTTATGCTTAAGCCTAATTGAAAAAAAAAACCGAAATAGATATTTTTCAAAATTTAGAAATTTAGAATTTTATTTTTTTGTGTTTCACTCCGCACGCTCCTGACTATACTGATATTTTTCCAGTATTCTAACACGACATCGAACTTGACATTCGGGGTTTTGTGGGGCATGGATTGCTTGTTTCAGTTTTTCTTTTGAATTTTGCGTTGATTCGTATTTTTATGAACAGAGACGTTATTCTGCAATAATTCCGTTTTACCGATAATTCAAGTCGATAAAGTCGCTGGGCATTGTTATCCTCAGAAGTTACTCAAGCAGAGAGCATCTTGAAGAAGAGGCCTAAAACATGTCTCGCAAGTCCCGACCGCCGTGGACCCTGAGTACGCGGAGGGATGGACCGATCGCTCCGTTGGCCCGTCTTTCGGGTAACATTTAGCCTGGAGTCGTACCCCATATGGGTTCCTTGGATAGTTACCAGTAGATATATAGGTAGCCGGGCAGAGAACACATTATGTGCAATCATAGGGATAATCCTCACAGAAGACGACTCCATTTGAGAGGGCTTCGAATGGGGCACAAGACTATGAAAGACTTTGAGGCATGAAAAGCAACCTGCAACTAATTAGGCTTACGACCAAATTGAATCAGCACAATAAGAGCTTCTCAAATAAATATAACTATGTACATATATGGCTAGTATATAGGTGCATACATATGTGCGTGTGTTTATGCCTCACAAAGTAATACAGAAACTTTTATATCCGAGTGCCAGAGTGTGCCGCTGCTGGTGGAAACAGAAACAGAAACAGACCTTCAGCAGGGCTGTGGGGCTCTCTGGGCCAGCTCTTGGCCAATTTATTTGGCCCATTAAAATTGTATGATAAAGCGGGGCCATTAATTGTGTTGCTTAATTTTCGTTTTAACGCATTTTATCAGGCCAACGGGGGCGGAGCTCTGCCCCCGCCTAGTGGACATGGTGGACTCTGGACTAATGTGCTTTCATTTGTGGCGGAAAGAAATCGATGGACTCTAGCCAAGCAGGCGCTGATACGAGGACACCAGACAGGACACTGGCAACTATCGATTGTCCTGCGTACGATACTCGTGAGGATCGACTTTCTTGGTTGCAAATAGTTGAATAACGTGGAAGAAATCGCTACAATGGGGACCTACGACTGTGAAGCCGTGTACACCTTCTTATAGATGCCTCCCCCTGAGCGCTGCAGAAATTGAATTTCATAAAGGATATTTCCAAGTCCATTACATATTTATACTGGGGCACAAAATGTGTGCGAGGCAATGACCATTGTCGAATCGCTAGACGGGCAAACGCCCACTCGTACGGACGGGTTCTACGCTCATATCTTAACGGGTTTCCTTACACATATGTACATAAACATACATATATTCTCGTATATAGGCACATGCCATATAGGGCTGTGGCTGTGGGGGGGGGGGGGAGGGCTCGAGTATATATGATTTTTATTGTTATTGTTTTGTCCCTTTTATGATGTTGCACGTATCGCAGTAACTTTTCCAGCATCTTAGGGGGGGGCTACGTGTATCTGTGTCTTGGATGTATCCAAGATAAATACAAACACACACACACACATACAGGAAGAAAATTCGAAAGGAGAAGGAAAAAATGAAACAATAACGAAACGAGAGACGCAGTTGAAGTTGCTCCTGAAATAAGCTCTCGTGCCATTGCCCCCACCCTCTGCCCAACCCACCCAAGCCCGCACACACACACACACACACAGAGATATAGCCTTGTGTATACGGTTATAATTGGGTGGCATTGAGGGTGCCGCCACATCGCCCTCGGATATGCGTGGGGGGTGGCATCGCGCCTGACTTTGGATTTCACCCCCAAAAACAGTTTTCTTTTTGGTTATTTTTTCTTTGCTTTCCTTTCCTTTTCGTTGCTTTCCTCTTTGTTGATTTAAGCGACTCCCCCGCCCTTGCCCCTGCCCCAGCCCCTGCCCCAGCCCCTGCCCCTGCACCAGCCCTGGCTATATGTCTCTCTGTGTGCGTTTTTAAGGGCTGCTCTTGTTTGCTGACGAGTCTCCCCCCCCACAGCCCACAGCCCACCGCCCGCTCTGTTTCCGTTGTGTTTGTGGTTGTAATTTGAAGCCAGCAACAGCCGGGGGAGAGAGCACGGCAAGGGTTCGTTTCCGTCTCGCTAGGGGCTGGGGTCGCCATATGAAACGTTATGGATTATGATATATACAGACATAACTTTATGCAACAAGCGCCGGCCGTTGCGCTCTGAGGCTGTCCTGTGGTTGGTCCTGCCACTGGTGGATCCATTTCCCGATTGGCTGATCCACTTCCCCTTCAAATTCATAATTCCTGTGGTTGCTTTCATAATTCCACTCCAAATGGCTTTCGGGGCGAGTGCGTATGCGCAATATGCCATCAAGGCGGGTTGGAATATGGCACGGGGCGTACCCCTAGAGGAGATTATATTCAACATATTCCAAGGTGTAAATCTCAAGGATTCATTAATGATGAAATCTTGATATTCGATCTGCGTGGCATTTCTTTACCCCCAAAACAGGAGTCTCCCATTTCATTTTTATTGCTTTTTTTTTGGTGCTTTGCCTCATCGGATTATCCCCCCCCGGTCTGTGCATCCCCGTTGCTGTTGTTATTGGTTTTTCCTTTTTCACTTTTTATTCTCTTTGAGCTGGACACGGATTACACTTCGTCTTGGGGTCCGTATTTGTGACCCCCCCACCCCCCCAGAGTGCTGCTCACATGTGCATGACTTTCTTTTATATGTATTTTTCTCCTTTTTTATTTGATGAAACTTCCGTTAGTTTTCCAGCATTTTTTTGCAAAAAAAACCACGTAGATTTATTATAAGCGTTCTGTCGTATGTTTGCGAGAGAGATGGGTACAGTGTGAGGGGAGAGAGAGTGAGTCTTGCACGGCTACGTGACTCCACACAGATCTCCTCCGCCCACGTGACTCCATAGAGCACTCCCCCGCCCACGTTACTCCATAGAGCACTCCTCCGCCCCCGTCACTCCACAGAGCACTCCTCCTCTCACGTGACTCCACAGAGCACTGCTCCGTCCTCCCTCCCTCTAGAGGTGTGCACTTTCCAGTGTTGGCTAACGATCAGAGGGTTCCTTGAAAGACAATTAGATATTTCCAATTCTCCCACTCTCACGTGACTCCACAGAGAACTCCTCCTCTCACGTGACTCCACAGAGCACTCCTCCTCTCACGTGACTCCATAGAGCACTGCTCCGCCCTCCCTCCCTCTAGAGGTGTGCACTTTCCAGTGTTGGCTAACGATCAGAGGGTTCCTTGAAAGACAATTAGATATTTCTATACACCCACAACACCATATACCATATTAATCCGTCTTTTGTAGACTTTTCATCAGCATAATCGATCTTTTGGAGTATCTCTTATTCTTATTTCATTTCTTTTCCACATTTTGATGGCGAAAGTGCGAGTAGAGGCACAAAAACCTTTGGGGAGCGAGGCAAAAACAAATTCGCCGCAAACTAAATGTGTTTGTGGCATTTGATATGCCCCCGGGCATCCACGACAGTTGCAACACCCCCCGCCCCCCCACCGCCTTCAGGTGAGAGCCGCGAACAGAAGGAGGAGATGAAGCAGAAACAGAAGCAGAAGCGGAAGTAAGTGGAAAGCGGGAGCAAAAAAAATTAATTTTATCCTTTTCATTTCCGTTGTTGCTGTGTTTCGCCGTGTGCGGTTTCTCTCTCTCTCTCTCTGTCTCTCGCCCAGCATATGTGTGCGTGTGCGTGTGCTTGTGTGTGTGTGAATTTTCATCATACTAGCATGCGGCTACATCCGCTTCCTTTTTTTATTGATGCTCCTCCTTGCTCTTCCACTCCGTTGTCTCCTCCACTTTTTGCATTATTTTAACGTTTGCTTTTCTCTCTCTCCTTCTCCAGCTCGGAATAGACCCCGTACTTGTGGGGATCCAGGGTATAACCGATTCGATTTGTAGGAGACTCGCTTTGCTCGTGCGTCGACCCCCGGCTCACTCGCTACGCTCGCTAATGCATTTATGAGTAAAATATCGACGCCTCAAAGCTTTTCTATATAATAGAGACACTTCTATGATACTTCTCGGATTTATCAGCTATAAAATATCTTTATCGATTATCGATCACAAATAATGCAGAAATAAATGGATATTTACGGCGTTTTTTACTCCCAAGGTTTCTTAATAATATCTTAATAATCCCGGAAACCAAAAGAATCTTTATAGAGGGTATCCAAGTAATCGACAGTAGCTTTTATATTCGATTTTTTTCGCCTTTTGTTATAAATCTTGAGGTTGAGCACTCGACTGGACGCCATTTTTTATTTTTCACCTTCGGCATCCTCTCCCTTGCCCCCTCCCCCTCCTCCTCCTTCTCTACCCCCTCCCAGCTGTCGCCCCAGGCAGATGGTCGAGCGTCGCTTATTTTTCAATTCTGTCAGTTCCGATGGTCAGAAAATGTCGCTGGGGAGCGCCGGCCTTTACTCAGATTGCAAAAGGTGTAGGCGGGGGGGTGGCTTGGTGGCCTGGATGGATGGGGGATGGGGGCCCCACCCATAAGAGTATATGTTTTATCTGCGAAATAATTTATAGAAGACTCAACCCAAATGGACACGGCCAAAGGGTTCCATTTCCTTATTCGATTTCTCTACGTTTTGTGTTCAATACTTGCGGGTTTTTTTTTCCCCATTTTAGATACCGAAATTTGAGCAGGAAGTTAGATGGAGGGGGTGGAGTTTTTCTCACACTTTTCGCAAAGAAACAATCTTTTGTTGTCAATGTGGGATACGGGATATGGGAAACCAAGGGAAGAAGCGAAGAATTATGTATGTATGGGATATATGAGATTTAATGCAATCAAGGAGTTTTGTATACCCCATGTACCATATTTCAAGGCATTACGAGCGTTGTATCTGTAAGGGTAACACCCTTCAAATCCCTTTCATCAGATTTGCACAAAATACATGTCTTGAGCATGATTAGCCTTGTCCTGGCAGACTGGAGATTAATTAAACTGCTGTAAAATGTGCTTTAGAGATGATCATAGTTCTCCTTACCCTCCATTTGTGGCACCTTGCCTGATGAACAGCCTCTGTAGAGAGAGAAAGAGAGAGAGAGAGAGAGAGAGCTCTGCGGCAAAAGATATAACAGCTGAAGTTCTATCTGGCGCACAAGTTACTGGGTGGAAATATTGAATAAGTACTGTCTATACAAGCACCAAAATGAACAAAAGACTTTCAGGATGTAGCCACGACCTGTCTTCATCTACGATGCTCTTTCGTCACGCAACGTGGCAGGGATTCATCCGGCAAGGAAGGAATGGAACCCTTTTGGATGGCACGGCCTGGAGGTATAAAATTATGTGCGCAATGCTAAAATTTTAATTCCAAATTTGATTCCCAACTCCGAGCAGGGCCGCAGTTTTCTTAATTTTCGCCCGGGATAAGTTTGCCGGAGCGTGTCGCAGTCGGAGGGGAGGGTTAGGTGGAGGGGGGAGGCCCTATCGCGACAAAGACATCTCTGGGAAGGAAACATTTTTTGGCTTATGCCAAAATTACATCAAAAAGCGCTGCCGGAATGTAGGCAGACGTGGGCCCAGGCTCGAAAAGGCTCGATGGAGGATGGGTTGGAATGCCTGGGCGTTGCCGACTCCAATGGAGGTTTGTGTGAAGAAATGTCTGGATTCTTGTACGAAAGTTCCACCATCAAGATGGGCGGGTGGTGGAGTGATTGCTATCTTCATAATGACTTTGAAGTGTCAAACAGTTTTCGGGTATTATCAGCGGCAAGGTGAAAATTAAAATGGTACCTTCGGATGGGACCAACGGGTAGGCAGACAGAAGATATAATTATAATTTAATTGAAATGAAATTGTCGCTTAAGTCAAGTGGGGATGGCGCCCCCTTGATTGCCCCCTGGGTTGGGCTTGGAGATGGAAAACTTTCGACACCACAGAACCGAATCTGTTCCGAATATTACTTTGGCGTGGAATCCGGGAAAGGCTTCACAGAGTCCTCTAAAACAGCCGCAGGCCTTTGCTCCAGGCCCATCCGAAAAGTTCGAATAAGTGAGTCAATAAAGGAGCAGACCCCGACAAGGACACAAACTATTTGCACACCAATTTAATATGCGGCACAGGCACGGGCAGGGGCAGGGGCACAGCTCGGACGGCCGGCTGTCGAAGTGGACACCATGAAGTTGCACAAACGCAGGGGCCTGCCATAAACCCATGAACGGGAAAACAAAAAGGAAAGCAAGCTTTCGTCTGTCTTTCGACTAAAAGATACCCTCTATTTGGAGGCTCTTCCGCTCTTTGGACACTCTTTTGTGGCCTCATCACCATGAGATGTGGCTGCTGTTAGCGTAGATCGGTGGATTCGGTGGTTCCAAAGATCTACATAAATACAACATACCCCTGGATCTGTACGATTAGCGGGTAGAAAAACGGATAAGTTTTGCCCAGGTTCGAGCAATGTCCAAGGAAAATCAATTTAATTTTTACTCATGTTCATGGGATGGAGTCCTTCAAGGACCGCCCGAGGTGGAAATTTCACTTAAGTCACTTTGAACTTTCGCAAGTTGCCATCGGAGTTGGCTCCAAAGTTACTGGTCAGTTGATTTTTCTTCCCCTCCACCCCCGAGGGAGGCACCATTCCACCATTTCACCCGATATTTACATTTTACCCCAAACCCAACACCAGGGGAAACCCTTCGCCGAACACGATCTGAAACATCGAACAGATGGAAACTTTTAGTCAATTTTTTAGGGGTTTTTTCCTTCCTTGACAGTCATGATTATTAATAGAAAGAGGGGCCACCATATCCACCAGATTTCAATGAATATTTGCAGATGGCCAATGAACAGGGTTACCGTCGCCATAAAAGTATCTTGGACTCAATATTTTTGCATATTCTCTTCGAGTCCTGAAAATACTATAGTCCCCAAAACAAAATGGCTTGCTTGCAGTGTATGGGGAGCACGGAGATGAAATTGGAAAATCCGAACAAGAACAGGGTCGAAATGAAGAAGGGAGATGGGGGTGGGGGTGGGGGTGGTGATGGGGCAGGCAGGGCGGGAAGGGCGGGAAGGGCACTTACATGACATGACAATAACTTTGACTTGACCATTCGACCGTTTCTCATATCTGGCCATCCACACTACCCAGCCCGTCTCCTTGTTTGTTTGTGCTGTAGTCCTGTCGGAGGACAGACAGAGGGAGACAGAGAGAGACAGATGGCACAGGTGCACACACACAGGATACGTGTATGTACGAGTCGGACGAGTCCGTAATGCTCTTTTTTGGCTCTGATGCGATGCTTGAACAAAGAGAAATATTTATGCGTTGACCAACTTGACCGAAGACCAACGACCGACGGCCCTTGAATGCCAGAAATTCCCAATTCAAATCCAATTCGAAATCTAAGCTCCGCCAAAGAAGTGGCTCTCAGGACAGAGACAGAGACAGAGACAGAGAGGGTTGAGTCGATGCTGTCTTTATGATGAAAAATGTCCAAAATTACTTTTGCCAGCTTCTGGAGCTTCTGAACCTTCTGGACTGCTGCGGCAGACACATGATGACCTTTTTGGGGCCGGCATGGTCGAAAGGGTCAGTCCGAGGCAGCTCGACTCGAGTTTCCCATTAATATTTAATAATGCGAATTGTTGATTGAAACATTTCGAATTTTCTATGACACTACTTGCAACAGCTCCTTGCCTTGCCTTGCCCCGTTTCCCCTCTCTTCCCTTTCGACAGTTGGCTAAAAGGGAGACGTGATTTTATTTGTATATCGGAAATTAAATTGGAATTATTCAGTGAGGGCTCACTCGATGGTCTTCAAGAGTCTTCCATGCATTCAAGTCTTACATTTTTTGCTTGGTAGAATGTTTTTGGTACAGTCCAATCCTTTGACAGATAGCGACAGGCTTACCTCGTCTTCCAATGCAACAGATGATAGGCGTCCAATCCGCATCTCCAAGGGGTCCTCTCAGGGAGAGGGAGGAGATAGATAGATACCGCTTAGACGCTTCCTTCTCCGCGTTACACTCATCCTCTGTCCCCACATATGGAACACACCCCTATACTCTCTTTGAGAAACTCCTCCCCCATTCTTATTCAATAAAATAAACATTCATGTTTGTGTTTAGTATCAAAATATAATTATTAGTATCCAAATATAATTATTAGTATCCAAATATAATCATTTTTAGTATCAAAATATAATCATTTTTAGTATCAAAATATAGAGTAAATATTAGCATTGAAAAGGTTTTCAGAGTTCCAAATTGTTGTTTGCGTTGGTTTTTCGATTTTCATTTTTTGATTTTTCGAGAAGTGAACACCAGCTAGAAAAAGGTTAAATTTAGATTAATTTGCTCAACATAAAACCATCTATGCTTACATTGCACTTATTGCGAGCGACTACCTTGAAAGTCTTCTTCTTTTGTGGTCGTGGGGGAATGTAATGTAATTGAGAATCTAGAAAAAAATATATACATTTTTGATGAATTTATTCAACGTCTAACCTAAATGTATGCTTACGTGGATTGTGCTGCAGATAGAAGATACAGTGTACGGTATTAGAGTACAGATACTAGAGTGCTTGATTCCATCGCCTTTGTATAAACTTAACTTTTTACTTAACTATAGTAAAACAAAACAAAACTAAACACAAAAAAACAAAAAACACAACAAATCACTTTTATGCTTAAAACTAAATGAAAACAAAAAAAAAACCGAAATAAATATTTTACAAAATTTAGAAATTTTGAGTTTTATTTTTATGTGTTTTACTACCCACGCTCCGAGCAATACTGAAAATTTTCCAGTTTTCTCACACGATATCGAATTTGACATTGGGGCTTTGGTCGGTCATGGATTGCTGGGTTCATGTTTTTTTTGGTTTTTTATTTTTTGGGTTTTTTGAAAATATTCCCAACAAAGTAGGCACAAAATTGTCTGTTAAACGTTTTAAAATATCCCTTGTTGGGTATAACAAAACCTGAGGCCCTAAGGGTCCTCTAAGAATCGATATCGATTATGTGTTAGGGGGGGAGGGGGTGCGGGAGGTAATGGAAATCCCGGTGTAACTTTTATTGGGGGCCAGGAGCCAGAGCCAACAGCCAACAGCAAACAGCAGGAAACCTTCCAATTGCAGTCACCCATCAGAGGGACATAACGATAATTAATAGAATTTGTTCAGGGAATACGTAATGAGGGCCTCCTGTCCGGGCGGCCAATGCCCCACGATTTGCCTCCAGGATGTCCTCGAGGGTCGTGGCCGAGGACAAGTTCTGTTTTTATTATTTTTCGATTTGCAACGCATTCATTTGGATTTTGTTGTTTCATTATTAACATTTCCATCCGGTCCCCACCATTGGCATTTTCTCTCGTTTCCCTCTCGTTCTTTGCTTCGTTTTCCCCACATTTTGTTGTATTTATTTTTCTTTTATTTTCTCGCAAAACAAACTTGAATTTAAATGAGTAAAAGCAGCGGAGGGGGTGGGCCCTGTAAGTGTAATAAAAATTAACATTAATTCAGAAACAAGAAAATGGACAAAAATTCATATGACACGGGAGACGGAGAGGGAGGGGCGAGAGGGAGACAGAGAGTGTTGTGTTGAGGAATTTTAACAAGAAAAATATGTAAATTGTCTTGTAATAAAAATGTCCAGCCCTCCTTCCAGACTTATCTGCAAATATAAATTTTATGAAACATTCCCCCAAAGAAAAAAATCGCAGCAAAGGAATTAAAATGGGGAAAAAGCGACAAAAAAAAACGCGAGTGAGAAAAGAAGAAACGGCAAAGGAAAACAAAGTAGCGCCCCAAGAATGGGGATGGGGATGGGCATGGCGATGGGCATGGCGATGGGTCTGGGGAGAACAAGTTATATCCCTGCAGGACATTATTTTAAATACTAATCCGCATCAGTTTTCATTTGAGTCCTCTGCCACAGCCCCAGGACAGGGCCCCACAGCCGTCTGGCTGCCATCTTGGTTTGGGGCCCGGGCGTCGTTACATAAATTCAGATGTTATCCCGAATGCGCAGCATGCACGTTATTAAAATAACGCCAGGCAGCCCCGCAGCGGGCCAGGCGACAGTCGGAGCCCAACAAAATGAAGGAAAATACCATCGCACGTCCCGGCTCCGGCTCCAGGTCCTGGCCCCCGTCCCGGTCCTGGCCATGCACGTAGCGCCAATTAGGGGCGGACTCAAGGATGCCTCCACTGCAACATATATTATCGATGGCTATCAGAGTCGTTTCAGTCAATTCTTGACACGGCCTCTGCCAGTCTGGGATGCGTAGAGAGTTCTCGAAGAAGGGATATAAAGGTTGGCAAGGATCACACATATAGTGCTCGAAAGTAGTTCCTCTTAACGCTTACGAAACTTCTTTGTGGAGTCCCTGATCTAAAACGTGGGCGAAAGGGAATAAATACTTCGAACGTAAAGATTATAAAGGTCCTTCAGTGAACACTTTGCCCAGGGTCTGTATACCTCTCTAATAAGATCGTTTAATGGTCCAATGGAATACCCATTTCTCGATCTAGACTCCAACAATATCCCACATATAAGGGACTTCAGTGAGCACTTTGATGAGGATCTGTATGCCCCTCTAATGGGCACATTCAATGGTCTAATAGCATACCTATTTCTCGGCGATCTAGCCTCTCACTAATCACAATATCCCACTTATAAGGCCCCTCCTCTAATATTGCTGCTACGATCGATGGGACTGTACCTTTTTGGCTCTCATGTCCTAAAGAGCAGCCTTGTGGCTGGTCATTTGTGGCCCTGTATTTGCATTCTATTTGTTGACGGGCTTGACCTCGCCCCCAAGCCCCCACGCCCCCATTACCAATCTTCTAAACGTTTTGTTGTTCCGCTGATAAAACAAAGCCCCAGAAACCAGGCCACCCCCTCCCCCAGAGCCCACGAAAGGGGACCACCAATTTATTCCTTTGTTCCGCCATTAGCGTTGCCTAATCCAAATTGTTGGTCAGCCAGGGGGCGCCCAGGGGGGGGGAGGGGTTCCACCTGAATTAGCAGCCGATAATTGCTGGGCCATATTTTGCGTAGCGCGCAATAAATGCAGTCAGTCCGCCGAGGGCCTGCTGCTACCAACAATAGAAGGGAATAGAACACCTGGTTTCCTGAGAGCTAAAGTGTGTTGAAAAGGATGCATTAAAGGGTGCTCTCCTGTCCGGTGATCAAAGCCGAAGATTTGCCTGTGCAAAGTCTTCCATGGGGGTTTCAGATCGCTTCAAAATGGATGCCTTCCCAGCTTCATGGACAGACTGCCGCCAGAGATCCCTTCGGGACAGCGATGGGTGTTGGGTTTTGGGCAAATTCCTGGTAAGTATGCACGATTTAAGGGCTTACTCTTTTAATTACTTTCGAATAACAGAAAAATACCAAGCGATCTCATTGTGCAACCTTTTTTTTGTTGGTGCTCCTTTGTTGCTCCTTTCGGGGGGCGGAAAGGAGAAAGGGGACTGCCTGCTAGACCTAAAACCGAACCCAAGGAAGCCAAAAAGTAAATGAAAATGCAATTTTATTTATTGTTATGTACACATTTTTTGTTGTTGTTTTTTTGTTGTTGTGTTTGTTTGTGTTTTTCTCAGTCCGCGTCGAGCTTATGTAAATTTATTTATTTTGCGTAATTTTTCTTGTTTTTACAGAAGAATAAATTTGCCTTGTTGGGCCGCCGCCGACCCCAAGCCCCCCCCTCCACCCCACCCCCGTTCCTTGTGGGGAAAGGAAAAAATTTAATTAGAATAAAAAGAGCGAGGCGGCAAAGCAGAGACAAAGAGAGAAAGCAGGGGTAAAAAAATTAAAATGAAATGAGGAAAAAGGACGGACAACAAAAAAATAGATGGAAAACAGGCGAATGCCAAGTACACGGCCGTAAGGAGGAGGAAGTATTTCCCGGCCACTTCCAGTACTCTCCTCGCTGTACATTTGGCTCCGTAATAAGGCAAAAGTTGTGCAATTTTCATGTGTAACTGACAGCCGACGCCAACATTTTGTAATGAGCCCAGAGGGCAGAGGTCCGCGGCTCTCGGGAAGGCTCGGTCAAAGTGGACAAAGGTTGGCACTTGCCCGCCATGTCGCTCAGACTTTGACTTGAGGGAATGTGCCGCCGCACTGCCTCGTAAATTATAAGCCATAAAAATTGTCCCTCAAAAGGGACCCCTGCCCGACTGAGGAATACCCTAACAGGCAGTGAACGAAAGAAACGCCCTTCGCCCATGGATATACCCCTATCTTCCAGGCAGGAGGAGTGGTTGGGGCCCTGTCAGCAGGCCCGACTTAATTGCACAGTTTGTTTATGACTTCATAGGCCATATGCAGAGGCTGCCCCATGCCCTCCGATCTGTCTGTCGCTCAATTATGGCCAGCTTTACGTCCCTTAGTTTGAGTTAAAATTTAATTACATTGTATTATGGAATTTATATGACAAGAGCCGGCACACAGCCCATAGCCCACAGCCAGTGTGACAGAGTTGGAATGGGATTAATTATGATGTGTCCTAAGTTGCTGCTCGGCTCGGCTTAAATGAAATGTAATAATTTTTGTTGAGGGATTTTAATTTGGAATTTGAACATTCTACACATAATAAATTGTGTCGCCTCTCTGTGTGTGCCATGGGTGTTGCCAAGGCTCGGATTCCCAAGTGGTTCTTCTGGCAGGTGTTCGCGAGGGTTGAAAGCCTCCACACTCCTCCCACATCCTCTTGGAGTAGGTTTCGGCTTTCCCCGAAATGAGAGATGTTCGAAAATGTTTGCCACACATGTCCGTTACTCTCTCAATGGCAAAGTGTAACCAGGGGCAATCAAAGGGTTTCGGGGGGGGGGCACATTCTAAGGTTCTCCCTCTCTCCACTCCCCCTCTCTCCTTGCACTGACAGTGGACATGGGCCAGAAATAAAAACAAAGGCACATTGCTAGTGAATTCAGCAATAAATGGCATAATGAAGGAATTAATGAATGGACAAGGGCCGAGCCGAGGACAGAGAGTGGAGAGTGGAGAACGAGGGACAAACTTATGCAAATGCAAATGAAAATTAATTTAATCCACAGTACGAGTAAATTTTCCATTTTAATTTAATTACATGGACGCTGCCTACGTGAGCGACAGCTAACCGAATGCCCAAAAAAAAAAAAGAAAAAGAAATCAAATAAAAAACGGACACTTTCGAGCCACCGTTTTTTTCCTTGGCTTGGTGGGGGGGGTGGAGAGGGGGTGGAGCTTTTGGGGTCCTAACTATGAGATGCTCCTGTGTCCGCTTAAAGCCAACTGGGCAATTATTTTAAGCCGCATCGGTCATTTGGCTGCGAGGGAAATTATGAAGGTTTTCTCTGCCTTGGGGCTGGTAATTAATTGGGTTTGCCTCCTGCCCCTCCCCGGAGGGTGGGGTGTGGTGGGGGTGAGTGTTTGCTTATGAAATTAAAATGCAATTTTCATTAAATCGGAGCGGAGCGGCGCGGCGTGGTGCTTTATTTAATTATCCATTCTGTGCCTAAGAGAGCTCCTCGCTAATAGCGAAATAAGCCGAACAAAAAGAAATGAGACAACCCTCTGGCCCCCCCGCCCCCACCAGGCAAAGGGCCAGCAAGTCTGACAAATTAATTAGCAAAAAAGCAATTATTCGTTCTCTGTTGTTCGCTCGCT